CAGAGGGCTAAAGTGTTTTACCTCACACTACCCCTTCAAACCCAAGTCAGTTGTCTGGTGGTCTATTCATCACTCATCTCAATGGCTTCAGCCACACCAATGCTGAAGACTTTTGACACCATTGAATATAAAGCATTCTGTGTAATCAGCAGTGCTGTCACTGAGCTGGGTAGTCACCTCCTCTACCACTGTGCACTCGGTGTGAAGGATGCACTACAACAACTTGTCAAGCTTTAGAGTCTCCCAGCCTCAGATCTCTATCACTGAGAAGAACACCACTGTCTTCAAGTTATGTACCATTGTGACCTGAATGTATTCCCTTGGTGCCACTTTGTTAAATGTCCTACCCAACGTTATCAGAGAGCCACAATCAGCACAGGGGCTACAGTAGTTCAAGGACAAGGCCTACTGCCCTCTTCTCAGGATTATAAGGAACAAGCATTAAATAAAACTCAGTGGCATCCACGATCTCAGAGTAAAGACATCAAAGTGGATGTAATATCAAACTGTAAAAATTGACCTCTCCTTGCGCCCAAAAAATGTCGACAATCAAATGACACCTATTGACTTGCGACAGAATACAATGGGTAAAACAATTTTGCTCGTTTTTGTTTATTTCTTCATGGGATGAATGCATCACTACCGAGGCTAGCATTTATTGCCCTCCCTAATTGCCTAAAGGGCAGTTAAGAATCAATAACATCACTATGGGTTTGAAGTCACATGTACACCAGATCAAATAAGGATGGCAGATTTCCTTGAAGGATATATATTACTGATTGATGATATTAATGTAATGGAATAATATTACCAAGTTTCACTTATCCATCAGCCACCTGCTCACAGAATTACATTGTCTTGAGAATGACCAGAAGCCAATGGTTTGACTTAAAATTCATATCCATGATTTTAAATGCCTTTGTAGCTGTGCTTCTCCCTGTCTCTATAACATTTTCCAGCACAACAACCCTCTGAAATCTCAGCTTTCCTCCAGTTCTGGTGTCTTAAACACTCTTGATTTTCAGCCCTCAACCATTGGCAGCTGTGTCTCCTGAAAGAAGACTTGCATTTATATAGAATTTTCCACAATCACCAGATGTCTCAAAGCACCTTTCAACAATTAAGTTTTCTTTTGAAGTTGTAGCAAGATGGCAGCCAATTCGTCCCACTGTTTAATTCCTAATTGCAGGAATTACTTCCCAAAACTTCTCTATCCCTATGTCCTCCTCGTGAACACACATTAAACCTATTTTTGATGGAATATTTGGTTTCATCATCTTTCACAATATCTCCTATGTGTCTCCATTTTTATTTTATAACATTCCTTGGAAGTACTGTGGGACATTTTACTCTGTTTAACAAGCTACTTAAATGCCTGATATCATATTTAGAATTTCACATTAGGCTTAAACTTATTTAAAAAGCTTTATTCATTTAACTTGTGTTTCGAGCTGATATTTACATGTAAGGTTTGCAGAAATGTGTTGATATTTTGTTTACTAACAGGTTTGAAATTATAGCAAAACACATATATATATACGAATGTGCTTCATAACTACTCCTTATCAAAGACTATATAAGAAAATGTTCGACAACTGTAGTTCGACACAACCATGCATGCCAGAGATGTTTTATCAGGGATTAGGGGAAGAACCGTAGCGAACCATATTTGATGTTCATATAGAACTAGGTGGAAATTAATCAAAACATCAATTTTGATCCCCCAACAAGTTTTTTATTTCATTTGAAATGACTAACTTACAGATTAAATTTACCTACATCTTTCGTAAATAGGCCGCCATCATTTCTCTTGTAAGATAAAGTTCTCTTTTCTCCTCCATCATTGAAAAGAACATGACAAAACTGACAGAAATGCCAAATCCTGGTCATTAGAAATAGAAACCTTCCAAGATTTCTTCCTTTGAAGAACCTCTTGCTGTGGTCCTTTCAACACTTTAAATCATGTGTTGCAATTATTTATTAATTAGTCAATATCCTGTGGCATTACACATCAGGCTAGTGGGCAGGAAATAATTGGATCAGGGCATGCAGACATAATTCAATCCCACTTTAATGTCATTCACCATACTTTCCTTTTATAAATTTCTACATACATGCTTCTAATTTTAACTGAGTTGCACTGTATCACATAACTGTTATAACAGGCCATTCAGCCCATTGTGCCTGCACCAGCATTACCTTGTGTCAACCGTATTTTGCAGACTATTTTTATCCAAAAACCATCCAGTGCCCTCATGAATTCCTTACTTGAACCTGCCTCGACCACATTTCTTTGCAGTCTATTCCATACCCTAATTATTTGCTGTATCTCTTTTTTTTCTCATATCACTCTTTCTTCTTTTGCTCATCACTTTAAATCTATGCTGTCTTGATAAAGTTCCCTTTATGAGCAGGAGGTATATTTTCCAATTCCTGGTGGGGTTGCATCAGTTGTCATGGGAAAACTGACAAAAATATGAGCAGAGATTAAGTTTTAAATATATTTATATATCTATTAATTTAAAATGTGAAGTTATAGGAATATGATCATTCATGTACTGAAGTAAAGGTCAGTCACCCTTTTAACTTTATGCCTAGAATGCACATTCTGCTGTTTGGTGGACGAGTGAAAAAGTAATGCAAAGTATCTCCCTGCAACAGAGGTAAATCAATTAATATTCCATAAACATATATATTGGTTCTATAGCACTCATCTTTATTTCCCTTGCTTGCAATATAACAAAAGCTTCCACTAAAATAAATGACAAGAACCATAACAGACCATGAGACACTATGTACATGTTTGTTATTTACTGAAAGATCAATTTTATTATATGTTCTGTGTTGGTACAAAGTGATTTTAACTTCACATTCATGCAATACGTGTAGTATAATTCAATCACCAGATTCACACTAAGCAAGTAGCGAAGACCAACTCAAGGACTAACGTGACTCTTTCTAACAGCAGTATGGGTTTACCTCAACCACAACGACCACAGAGGTTCGAAAAGCTGGCTCACCACAAGCTTCTCAAGGATAGGTAACAAATCCTGGTCTAGCCAGCCAACACTGCCCACATCTTATGAACATTTTTCCTTTTAAAACTGTATTAGTTTCACGAGCTGCAGTATTATTGTCAAAAGTTGAGGTTTTATCTTTAATCTTTATTCATTTTAGTGTAAGCAGAATGTTGACTATCATGTGGATTTAACAATGAAATTTAACCACCTTTAGAATGATAGGAATTTTGGTTTTGCTGGCCTGAGGATAATTAAGAGATAGCAGTATAATTCAGACCTGCCTTAATTCTCTAAGCAGTTGCCAGCCTCAAACTTGATGCTGTAGTACAACTCCTTCATTCATATCTCCTTTGAATCATGTCCCAAAATTCAACATATAAAAGATATACAATTATAAGTTGGATTCTAACCTGTTAACTCAGCTCATCGTTCTGAAATTTTAATGAAAATCTATCTACCAATAGAGTAAGTTATTCATGAAGTATGTTGTGTGAGCAGTAGGCCAGCCATGTAATACCAGTTGTAAATAATGGCAAGTCAGTTAAAAAGAAATCTGGGAAAATGTATACTTTTAAGTTCTACTACTTGGAAGTTGAAAAAGAGGTGTGGCTATTCATTTTCTCTAAATATAAAATTATTTTTCAAATTAACCCAGTATTTCACCAAACTGTCTGAAAACATTGCTGTGGAATGTTGCTCAAATCACTGTCAAACAACCTCTTGAAAATAAATGTTATATTTCTTGATTTTAACTCAACTCAGCAGTGAGATCAGGTTGTTAGTGTCTGATATCAGTCAGAGGGTCCTGGAATTAGAAGAGATTGCAGATATAGAGTGAGGTCATGGAGAGATCTGAAAATAAGGATGTGGATTTTACAGTCAAGTTTTGCTTTACCAGGAGCCAAAGTCGGAAAGCAGGGAGGCAATAGGGGATTGGTGCTACATAAGTAGTAGAATTATGGATTACATCACGCTTATGGAGAGTAACATTTTGTAGAACAGCTGGTGTGCTTAGAAATAGTCCGGTGTAAAGCCATGAATGAAGAATCCAGCAACAAATGAATTGAGACTGGGTAAAGTTGGTCAATGTTCATTGATGAAAATAGGTGTTCTTAGTGATTGCGTGGTCTGGAGATCATCTCAGAATCAAACTTTCAAAGTTATTGTAAAGGGCAGCTATTGTAAGAGCAGGATGGAGTTGGTAACTAGGGAATAGAGTTTGGAATGGCTAGCGAAAACAATGTCTTCAGTTTTCCCACACTTAATTGGTAGAAATTTCTGCAGGATGTTAGATAAATAATATGATAACATAGTAACTGTGGAAGAGGCAAGAGAGGTGCTCAAGTCAATCTACAGTCAAATCTTTAGCATGGAGTTGAAAGTTCCAACACATACTGTACCCTAATACAGTATACACTCCCATGTAACCACTTAAATTCACTATAATTTAAGTGAAATGTTTTTATACCTTACTAATTTAAATGAAATAAGTAGTTTTATTATTTCACAATTTGGATTCTATATTCTCTTAGATAAACATTATTTAGTTCTTGAGAAATGTCAGTGAGCTTTTCAGACCTAACCATTAGCTAATACATCATTATTAGATTCTGTCTTATTTTACATGGTATTTATTTAGCAAATAACATTAAATTTGACTCTTAGTTGGAAAAATGTACGTTATGTTAATTGCACCTCAGCTCTAAAACAAGGTCAGAAGTCACACGACACCAGGTTATAGTCAAACAGGTGTACTTGAAATCACAATCTTTTGGAGCACTGCTCCTTTGTCAGGTGACACTTCACTTGTTGGACTATAATCTGGTGTCGTATGATTGCTGAACTTGTCCACCCCAGTCCAACACCGGCACCTCTACATCATCAGCTCTAAAAACAGGCATACATATACATCCTGGCATCTAAAAGTGATTCTGATGTGGCGCTTGGTTTGAGTATAGCATGGCAAATGCAAGACTGCTTTTAAGTAATAGCTTTGTACAATATCAAATCCAAATAATTGCATTAGTAGAGTTTGTCATAGGGCAAGCTAGGTGCCATTCCATCTGTACTTCGTTTAATGGCATAAGGAGATGGCAAAGTATGTACTTATAAGTTAGTAAATAGTCATTCTTTAACAAGTGGTAAAAGTTTATTTAAATGACAAAACATAACAAAATTCCAATTACATGACAGACAAATATACGTACAATTAAAAAAAAACTCAGGTTAATGTGCTAGCATAACATTGCCAATGTAACTGGGATCAAATGCACAGGGATCAGGTATACAAGTTTCCTAAAGGCATTTCCCTAGAATTAATAAGAACATTTACATCTAACGTTTATGGCTTGCACAAATCTAATTCAGTCTGTCTTCCTTCACTGAAGGGAGGAACTGTGGACCCTGTTAGCAATAATTCTAGCTCCAAGTGAATCCCTTTAAGGGAATATTAAACTTTGTTTTACCACTACAAGTAGAATGTTTACATGTTCATTCATGTGTGCACGAGCATATTTGCACTCCACAAAGGTAAAAAAAAATCAGTTAAACGTCGTGCTTTATTGAAGCGCTCTGTTTCATGTTTCTGTTTACTAAGAAATCTTGACCTGGAGATGCTAGTTCCATTAGAAATGCATGACAGTATCTAAAATTGCTAACCTTCAATATAGGATATCGGCCAATTGTTTTGTGTTATTCCCAGTGCTATTTTTCGTTCAGTTTCTTTAACCGTATTTATTTCCCCATTACGCATAATTGCTGCACTTGTTAGACACTCAGTATTGCTCATTGAAGGTAGTGATGACTTGCTACTGGCTTTTAAAACGGGTGAACCGATGTCCCATTCAAACTAGGTAGCTCTGTAAATTTATTTCACTTAGATCCAATCAGTTACCACGGCCTCCAGATCGATTTCGAATACATTACAGGGGACGTGCTATCTGTCCTAGAATTATCGACCTTTTCTTGCAGCAAAGGACTTTGTCCGGCAGTAGGCGAATCCGCTTCATCCAGATCGGAGCACAGGTCATCACTGGAAGCAGTGGATAAAGGAGACAGTGCTGAGGGACTGGTCTGGATACCTCCTCCGGGGGACGCCAATAAATGGCACACATCATCGGGCCCAGGCCAAACGCCGGAGGAGCCAGTCTCGGCCATTAACTCGCCCAGTAAATCCTGAAAGTTGTCTTCGCTCAATGGCATAGACTCCAAGAGGTGGTTCAGTAACTCGGCGGCCACTACAGAGTCGATCCCGGGGCAGTTTGAGACGAAAGTGTGCACCTCATGCATGCACTGGATGTAGCCAGCTGCAAACCTCTCGTTCGCTTCCTGGTTAAACCTGTCTGTTTCTGTCAAGTAGGAAGAAAGGGGAGAAAAGAAAAAGGTCACTTCCCATCGCCACAACTTTACCACGGAAATATAATGCTCGCCTGGATGAGGCTGTGCAGCAGCAACAGTGTTTGGACAGGGTGCACTCCCTTTTCATTTCTTACAGAGGGACGTTCCACACATTACTCACCAACATTTCTGTTGCGAAGTATGTTTTGGACACGTTTCACGGTCATCTCCAGGACCTCCGCATTCTCCATTTTCGACTGCAGCTGAGAATATTTAGCACATTTTAGATTTTGAAATCATTTACTGAAATCTGAAGGACTTTTTTTTCTCCCCCATCAGTACAACTTAAAACTCACTTCCGTATCCGCCAGAATCAGTCTCAGTTCTTGCAAGCTTTCGTTAATGCGAGCTCGTCTCTTTTTCTCTATCAGTGGCTTGCGAGTCTGAAATCGGGAGGGGCAAAGGAAAAGCGCGGGGTTAGAATGCTATTTATTGCAATCCATGCACATTGCAAGAACCGTCGACTTAATACCACGTTCTCCCCGCTCAGCAAGTGCACCGATTTACCTTCCGATCTTCTTTCACTGTGTAATAGTCCCCTTCATCCCTAAGATAACCAGGTTTGCTGGGTTTGCACGATGGAGCCATGTTGTTCAGGATTAACAACAGCCTTCCCAATTTTTTTTATTTGCAAAAAAGAAAGAGAAAAAAATTAACACAAAAGGGAAAATCCTCCCACCCGCAGCACGTTTTTGCTAGCAGCTGTTACGCGTACAATCTTCTTTTTATTCAGTCTCGCCTGCCGTTGGCAATCTCTCTATTTATACCCTTCCGTTTGCATTTGAATGAGTTGAGAGCGGCGGGTCTCGGGGACGCCTAGAGGTCATTAGCTTACCCAATGGCAGCACAATGCTTTGTGTGAGGCTCTGAGCTGTACTCTGCCTGATGTCAGCCTGCGGCTGGCCACGTGAGGAAACGGGACTTTTAAAGCTATTTGTTATGCAATTGCACCCTAACAAAACTGGACATATTTTCTTTTCTCCCCCCTTTTAAAAAAAACACTGTAAATAACGCCACGCCGCCCTCGCATTTTCAAAACATTAACTATCAATACCATACAACGCGACACAAGATTAAACAAAATAAGCTCGACTCGATAAAATGGCCAGAGTTGCCGTCTCGAAATCATTTATTATTCTTTTATGCACTTCAAGGCAGAAGTGTCAGGGTAAGGAAGCGCCCACCAGACAAACAGGTGTAACTGCACTGGGTAACAGAAAAATAAGACTAGTTCCAAAAAAATACATGAGGCAATATCTTCACCGTATCTGAGGTTCAAACTTAACCACCCACTTACTTTTGTATTTAAAATCGTATGAAGACGTCTAGTATTAAATATTTTTTCAGCATTGTTCTGCCCTACGCTAGGGCAAACTTCTGGGTTTATAGGTGAAAATGTAACATGATGCTGACAGTTAGCAGCTGCAGCCTCTCGCCAGAGTGAATCAGTAAGAGCATTAGTCGATCCCTAAAGAGCAAGCGACAGGTGTTAGCTCTTGCTTCATTTGTTTTCCTCTTTTACTGCTAGTAGCGTGTATCTGTCATATTTGTTACAATCAAAGTAAGTCTACCCAACAACCACCCCACCCCACCCCCCCGCCCGCCGCAACATACACACAACCTACCCAACCTTGCAATCGTTTGTGCAAAAGTGGTTTGTCTGTTCGATACAAAATCGGCATAACTCATGTATTCTCCATTTTAAAAGCTCCTATCAGATCAATAATGTAAATCGTTCCCTTTTAATTAGCAGTTATTCCGTTTTATTAGAATAATAAACACACAATATTGTCCAGCATTTTTTTTTCGTTCTGGAAGAGGAGAATAAGTGTTTACCATCCATTAGAAATAACCTCGAACTGTTTGCAGTTTGTATGGGAATGTTTTCCTGGAATACAATAGGAATGTCTTTACATTCGCTCAGTGGCTGCCGCTCGCCCATTCTGTACTTTTAATGCTCAGCCGCTTTAACATTGCAGTTTAAACCCTCTAGTGGGGGCTATTTAGTGTGAACCGATGCGGGAAGGATCATTCGAACTGGCCATGGTTTGGACTGCATTTCTTTAAAACATATTTGGATTCAGAGCTGAATGCTCTCAGTGATGTGATGTCTTGCCGGTTTGAGTTCATGTGCATTTTGCACGTTTTGGCGTCTCATTGTATTATAGATGACATGTGGGTGCGTTGTGAACATGTTTGATCTCCACATTGGAGAGAACAAACAACAAAAAATGGTGCCGGGACATTGGTGTATGTGCTTTTAAATGCTGTGTAAATTAATATTAGTTCACGGCCTAAAATCGATTAGGTTAGTCTGACTAAAATCTTGGCATATTTTGTTGATTGTTTTTGGACATAACAGGTTATTTACTACTGAAAAACAAAGCCTGGTTTCGATAGGAACCGAGGCTGTAAAACGCCTCAAGTGGTAATTAGTTTTATGGACTTTTCAGTTGATAATTTAAGAAGTTGGTGCTGAGATGAAATAAATTCAGCAACGAACATCAAGGTTACAATTCGAAGTTGTGTGTGTGTGTATATATGTGTGTGTGTATGTGTGTGTGTATATATGTGTGTGTGTATATGTATGTATGTGTGTATATATGTGTGGGTGTGTATGTGTGTGTGTATGTATGTATGTGTGTGTGTATATGTGTGTGTGTGTATATGTGTATATGTATTGTGTGTATATATATGTGTATATGTATTGTGTGTATATATATGTGTATATGTATGTGTGTGTATATATATGTGT